GCAATCCTGACCCATATTGGTAATGACGTCATCATGAAAAAATTCTTGAATTCAAAAGGTTTGGTTGATCGATTGATTGTAAATCACGATCTTCAAGTTCTTCTGCTCCTACATCAACTTTCTTACAACTCTTTTTCTTCATCATCGTTATTTTCTTTTATTCCTCCATCCACCAATCAGAATGCCGCCACAACCAAACAATCCAACTGGGAAAAACAAACCAACAGCACCCTCCAAAACACACGATGCCACGCAACAGTTAATTCAGGGTCGATCCGTCAGGCAGGTGGCCAAATCAGTCGGGATCTCGATCGGATCTGCAGTCAACATCAGGAAGAAAAACAAGGAAAACATTCCTCCTCCCAAAGTGGGTCGACAGGACAAGGTCTCCCCAAGGACAAAGGAAGTTCTCGCTCGTGAATTCAAGACTGGCCAGCTGACAACACTCCGCAAAGGCCAACGGTTCCTCCAAGCAACGGATGGAGTGCAGGTGCATGTTGAGACGGTCCGAAAGAATCTACTGCAGAAATGAATCAGAGCATACGTCCAACAGAGGAAGCCTGATCTTAAACCGAATCATGTACGGGATCGGCTTACATTCGCACAGGAGCATAATGTCAAGAAAGCAGACCAAGCAATAGAATGAAGTAGATAAAGAGAACCTTGATCAAGGACTAAGAAATGAGTATAAGGAATAGGTTAAAGAGTATGTTGTATTGGCGATACCAAGTAAAGAGCTATAGATTTGCTATCTAAGGCCCTTTTATACTCGTTAGGGCGAAGTCACAAGAGCAAGCTCTTGTCTCGTGACAACCTCCCCCTCTAGGGCCGAGTTCCAAGAGGCCTTTGGCTGGGTTTGTGAGGGTGTTGCAGATGGAACTCGCGAACAAGGTCCGGGGAATTCTTGACACAGGCGGCCGGTTCCCAGGTTCGTTCGGATACGGGGTAGCCTCTCCAATGTATATAGTATTCAAGGTGGTTGCGCCTGATCCGTGAATCCAAAATGGCCTCAACCTCGTACTCCTCATCGCCGGAGACGACAAGCGGAGGAGGTCGTTTTGAGGCTCGACCGGGGATCGTATCTGGATGCGCACGCTCAAGTAAGTTTACATGAAAGACAGGATGTAGCTTGGTCGTTGGTGGTAAATCGAGACGGAAGGATCGAGTGCCGATTTTTTCGAGAATACGGTAAGGGCCCATGCGCTTATGGTCGAGCTTCTTGCATGGTCTGTTCGTTGGAGGTTCCGGGCGTCTAGCCATACAAGATCTCCTACTTGCAGATTGGGTTGTGGTTGGGGCCTTGGTGTCGAAGTTCCTGGCATGCTGTTCAATGGCGGTGTGGAATTGAGTTGCATCTCCGCATAGAGGTTCTTAGGGCCTGGACGCGTTCCTGGGCTGGGGACATTGTCCTTCGAGACTCTTGGGATGGTGATGGTGAATTTCGGATGGTAGCCGAGGTTGGCAAAGAATGGTGTTGTTTTTTGTTGTTGAGTGTGTTGCGTTGTTGTATGCAAATTCTGCTATCGGTAGAAGGGTGCTCCAGTCCGTTTGCTGATAGTCGATATACCCTCGTAGGTACTGTTCCAGTATTGAATTTACTCTCTCGGTCTGTCCCATCGGTGCGTTGGTGGTAGGCGGTAGAAAGCTTCTGATTGATCCCCAGAGACTTGACATGGTGGAAACGAAGGCTGAAGTGAAGGTGGCGCCTCTGTCAGAAACAATGTCATCCGGGAGACCGTGGGCTGAAAATACGCGTTCTAGGAACAAACGGACCGTATCCTGTGCATGATGTTGTCGTAGGTGGGGACAAAGTGTGCCATCTTGGTGAATCGGTCCACAAAAACACTAGATGCCGTATAGCCGTTTGAGGGCGGGAGTTGGGTGATGAAATCCATCGATACTGAGGTCCAGGGGCGATCGGGTACAGGCAGGGGTGTAAAAGTCCATAAGGCTTGTGAGTGGATGACTTTGTCCGTTGGCAGGTGTCACAACCGTTGATGTAGTCCTTGATGTAACGCCACATGGAAGGCCAGTAAAATGTTCGACTGACAAGGTCTGAGGTCTTGGTGATTCCAAAATGACCGGCGGTTGGGGCGTCGTGACATTCTTGAAGGATTTGTTTCTTGAGTTCGGGATCGTCGGGGACGCAGACAAGGCCATCCCGCAGGAGTAGCCCATCTTGAATTGAGTACTGGGCATTGTCCGAGTTCGACTTTGCGGTCTTGGCGAGTATTGGACCAAAGTTATAGATCATCGGGGATTAGTGTCTTGATTTTTTCCTGGATCGCTGGCGTCTCTGGTTGCAGTGACCGGGCCTGGATGGTGTTCAGAATCTGGATCGGCGGTAGGAGGGTCATCTCGGTCTTGCCGTGCTGGGCCGCACCTCCCTCTCCAGGGTTGTCCCGCCGGGACAAAGCATCGGCAGCGGCATTCTGGGAGCCAGGGCGGTAACGGATGGTAAAGTTGTAGTCAGACAAGATTTCAGACCAGCGGACTTGACGGCGGCTCAATTGGCGCGTGGTGGTAAAGTACTCAAGATTTCTGTGGTCGGTGATGACTTCCGTGGTAGCGGGCGAGAATTCCAGGTAGTGTCGCCAATGTTTAAAGGCAGACACAATGGCAAGGAGTTCTTTGTCGTAGATCTGATAGTTGAGTTCAGCAGGCAAGAGTTTTCGGAGTAGTAAGCGATAGGATGTAGGCGTCCATCTTGGTCACGCTGACTGCAGACAGCGCCGAGGGCCTTGTCAGAAGCGTCAGTTTCAATGATGCAGGGGCGATCTGGTTGGAAATGCCGAAGGACGGGGCCAGACATGAAGCGTGACTTGAGCTCCGTAAAGCGGCTTGTGCGATAGCGGTCCAGACAAAGTTAGTATTTTCTTGAGTAACGCGGTGAGAGGCGCGGCGATATGGGAGTATTTCCGTACAAAACGACGGTAGAAGTTGGAGAAACCAGAAAGCACTGGACATCCGAAACGGAAGAGGGAGTGGGCCAATCGCGAATGGCGGCAACCTTGGCGGGGTCCATAGAAATACCGTCAGTTCCGATCACAAAGCCGAGGAATTCGACTTTGTCCTTGTCGAACGAACATTTCTCGAGTTTTAAGCATAGACCAGCGTCCTTGGAAGCTTGCTGAGAACTTTGCGGACATGCGCGGTAGTGTTCCTCAAGGGTGTCGGAGTAGATGAGAATGTCGTCAATGTATAGCACGACAAAGTCATCTAGGTAATCGCGGAGGACGTCGTTGGCGAAAGCTTGGAAAGTTCCGGGAGCGTTCATTAGTCCGAAGGGCATGACTGTATACTCGAAGTGGCCATAGCGGCAGCGGAATGCGGTCTTCCATTCGTCGCCCTCCTTGATGCGGAGAAGATTGTATGCTCCTCGCATGTCGAGCTTGGTGAAATACTTGGCTTTGCCTAGTCGGTCGAAAGTTTCGGAGATCAGTGGCAGAGGGCATCGATTGGGGACAGTCACCTTGTTGAGGCCTCGATAGTCGACACAGAGGCGGAGAGAACCGTCTTTCTTTTAACAAAAAGGACGGGGCGCCAGCTGGAGACTCGGATCGACGGATGAACCCTTTTGCAAGGTTTTCTTGAATATATTCGTGTAGAACTTGCAGTTCTGTTTGTGATAGGTTGTATACTGGTCCAAATGGCACGGTGGCTCCTTCGACCACAGGGATATTGTGATCATAGGGTCGATGTGGCGGTAGCTTGTCGGCTTGCATCTTGGAGAATACCTGAGCATACTCGGCATATTTCTCGGGCAGTGGACTGTGGGTTTTGATTCAGGGATAGAGTTGTCGTTGGTGGTTGCGCTGGCGAGTTCTTCGATTCGGGAGACGTCGAGCATGTATCCGACTCCTTGATTGGTCTTGAGGATCTGACGGAGTTGTGTATTGCTAATAATGGAGATGTTGGTTGCTGATCGGTTCTTGGCGGATTTGGATAGTTGGTTGGATCCTGAGGTGTACTTGGTGGGACTAAAGTGGATTTGGGTTTGGAAGGTGGCAGAAGGATTCGGTCTTGTTCCTGGAAGGCAGGGATGGATCGAGGCATTGTTGATTGTGCAAGGGGGGAAAGCTTGTCGAGTGTGTGCTGATGGAGGCATGGCATAGTAATGGTTCGTTTCTCCAGTCGATATATGGGTTGTGTGAGCGGAGCCAGTCCATGCCAAGAATAATGGCATAATTGCCAAGTGCAATGAGTTGAAAAGTGTGTGTGGAAAAGTGTTGTGAGTGGGATTGCATAACCAATGTGGTGGCGTGATGAGAGGTATGTGTTGAACCATTGGCAAGAGATATTTGTAGTAAGTGTTGTGCTAGTGGAAGATTGTGCTGTTGTGCTAGATTTTGATGAATGAATGAGATGGTTGCTCCTGAGTCGATCATTGCATGGACTGGTAGTGAGGAGTTTTGGAAGTGAAGAGTGATTGGAATAGTAATAGGGGATAGCAGAGGATCATTTGGAGATTTGTTATACAGCTCGCCCAGACACACTCCAACTTTACTGTCTAGGCTGAATCTTTTTCCAATTGGAAAGAGATTGCATCGGGCTGGTCGCTAGTCTGTGTAGGCTGAAGGCCGAGATCGAGGCTGTTGCCTTTGGGGCGTTCTTGAACGAGGGCTTTGCAGGTTTCTTGGGGCAGTCGTCAAGCCAATGATCTGCTGAACCACAGTAGGTGCACAGTCCTTCCTTTTGACGACGAAGACGCTCAGACGGTGGCAAAGGACCATGGCGAGCATGCGAGAGATCCATGTCCATCGAAGTGGTCGCGGGAGCTGAGGTAGCAGGGGTGGACGCGGTAGCTGGGGTGGATGAGGCTTGAGTGGTAGTAGAAGTGTGGGCAGTGGTGGAACGGGACGGAGTGCTGGAAGATTTGTTGCCGGAACGGGTCACTGCATAGCCGTACTGTCGGTTGTCGATGTCGATAGCCAATTGTGAAAACTCGGCAAAGGTAGGTGGCTCGGGGTAGTTTGCCATGGCTTCTTGAACAGACTCCTTCAGGCGAGGCGGAACTGTGAAATCATTGCACTATCATTCCATGCTGTATCCGCTGCAAGGTTGACGAAACGGTTTGTATAGTCGATGGCAGAACCGCGCTGTCTAAGTTGACGGAGTTGGGTTTCTGCTAGGACGTGAGCATTGGAGACTCCAAAGTTCTTACTCATAAGAGCAAAGAACTGATCCAGGTTAGAAATACATGCGGGTCTCTCCTCGACAGGCAACTTGAAGGACGGAACGTATCTCTGCATGTACTTGAACGCTGCAGTATCACCGAGGCGCGAGATAGCCAGCACAATGCGGTCGTGGTCGTTAGGATAGAGGGTCTCGTTTGCAACGAAGAAGAGTTCCAGCTGAGCCTGAAACCCTTTCCAATCTTCACGCTTGCCGGAGAAGACTGCGGGGGGTGCTACTTTTGGCCTCGAAGGGGAGCTATTGCTGGAGTGAGGTGTAGTTGATTGGAAGATGGCACTCACTGTGTTGGTGACATCGGTTTTGTGATCTTAAAATAGTTTGCCTAGTTCTGCGCGAGTGATGGGTGGTAATTGTGACGTCATCTTCTGGACGTTGGATTCGAGGCTGAGTAATCGAGGGTTGAGGTTGACGGTCAGGCTTGTGAAGAAATCTTCGTTCGAAAGAATGAAGTCCAGCATATCACGGTACTTCTGAACAGTCTCCTCGAGTTCGGTGACTTTGGCTTGCAAGGGAGCGACCGTCTGAACTATTTGTTCAAGTGTGGCTACTCGGTCCATCAGTGCTTGGAAGCGCGCGTTGGCTGTAAGGATCTCACTATCGGGTAGCATTGTAGTTGATACGGAAAGTGAAGAGTTGTTGTAGTTTCTGAGGGTAGTGGGTTGTGTACAGAAGATGGTAGTAAAAGAGGAAAGAACTTGAAGAAGATAGGGTTTGGTTTTGTTGTGGAAAAGGCCTTTTTTTTTTTTTTTTTTTGAGCGCTGAAGTATATCAATAGAAAACAGACAAAGTTTGATCCAAGGTTCTTTAGGTGTATAACTTGGTATTGTCAAGAAAGCAGACCAAGCAATAGAATGAAGTAGATAAAGAGAACCTTGATCAAGGACTAAGAAATGAGTATAAGGAATAGGTTAAAGAGTATGTTGTATTGGCGATACCAAGTAAAGAGCTATAGATTTGCTATCTAAGGCCCTTTTATACTCGTTAGGGCGAAGTCACAAGAGCAAGCTCTTGTCTCGTGACACATAAGGACTGGACAGTAGATGACTGGAAACGTGCGATGTTCTCTGATGAGAGCATGATCAGTCGCGTGGGGTCTTTTGGCAGGAAGTACTATTACAGCGGCCAGGAGCACAAACGTCTGCTGCCTCATCAAGTCCGTCTAACGCCACAAGGTGGAGGAGGGAAGATGATGGTCTGGGGATGCATCACTTTTTACGGAATAGGAGACCTAAGCAGGATCCATGGGACGTTGGATTCGGAATTCTTCCTCACCTTCCTCAACGATTATGTTCTCAACTCATTCACTTGGAACGGAATGGATCCTTCGGAATCGATCTTTCAGCAGGACAACTCTCGAGTACATACAGCAAACGTGGTACAACAATGGCTTGCCGAGCAGGAGTTCACTGTTCTCGACTGGCCAGCCAACTCCCCGGACCTCAACATTATCGAACACGTTTGGGCTTATATAAAACAGCGACTTGCCCAACAAGAACAGGCGCCGAAAAGCTTGGATGAGCTCTGGGAACGCGTGCAGGATATTTGGAATAATCTCCCCCCTAACCTTCTGCCTGATTTGTACAAGAGCATGCCCAAACGCATAGATGCATTGATCAAAAGCAGAGGCGGTCCAATAAAATACTGAATGACCATGGCAGAGACGATGAACTTGAAGATCGTGATTTTCAATCAATTGATCAACCAAACCTTTTGAATTCAAAAAAAATAATTCATGATGACGTCATTGCCAACGTGGATATAGTTCCAACAGAAGCATGACCACGAAGTCTAGGAATCATCGAGTGGCATCCCGGGGTTGATTGCAAAGATGACGAAAGAGCATCTAAAAAAAAAAGTCGAAATCGCGTTTTGGTTGATCAATTGATTGGAGCACTTTAGTTAAGAACTGTTGCGGTACGGGTTTATTTTATTTATCCCTTTTTATTTAACGAAGAGACGCTCAACCAAGCACGTCACATGAGCCGATACTGTTTATTATCTGCTCTGTGGTGCAAAATAAGAAAACAGACTCTTTCTTCTCGTTAATTCCATCCCCATACTTCTCAGAACTTCAAAAGATTCAGATTGCTTGATATTGTGGGATATGTATGGCATTTTCATGCATTGTCGGTAGGTGTTAGCGCAGGTGGAGGAAGATAAGTTCACTCGCCCATCAAAAGAGCCGGATCAAAAAGCAACGTCGCTATGAACGCTTGGCTGCCACAAGCCAGTTGTTCAGTTGAATAGCACTTGGAATTTTCGGCATCTTTCCCCTTTTTCTCACCCTGCATCCGTCCATCCCATCTTTTGCTCGGCGTCCTCCCATTTTTTTTTCATCTCAACTTTTTTCCGCCAATTTTTTTTTCATGTCCATCTACTTTTTTTGCATTCCCACTTTTTTTTTAAATGTCCCTCCCCAGACATTTTTTTGTCGCTCTCTCCCTAACATTCTTTTCCTTCCCCCCCTTGCGTGTTTTTTCTTTCTTTTTCTTTGTCCCTCCCCTGAGATTTTTTTCGTCCCTCCCTTTTTTTTTGTATTCCCATCTCTTTTTTCTGCATTTCCATCTGCATCCCCGTCTTTTTTTTGTGATCCTCCCCCCCTTTTTTTTGCTTCCCCCTCTGTCTTCGTCTCCTCTTTGTCTTGCTGGCCTCTCCTGCTTATTTCTAGCGTCCCTTTTTTCCCCCACTCAATAGCATCTGTCGTTGTTTAGCTTTCACTCCCTCTTCCCATCTCTGCACCCAGGTTGTATCCCCCTTCTTTTTTTCTTCCTAGCTCCCCTCCTTTAGCACACCCCATTTTTTCAACAGGCCCTTGATGTTTTCTGTTACTGCTGCCTCTACTTGCCCTGATCCTTTGGCGGTCCCAGTTCTTCTTCCTGAACTCTCCAAGCCCAAAAGACAAAAACTCGATCTGTTTACAGCCCTCTTCACATATAAAAAGAAGTCGCACCTATCCAGCACCTTACACAAAAAACACATTTTATCCTACCTCAAGACTCTAGGCTCACAACAGCATTCACAACGCTCGCAACAACTACTGCAAGAACCACTACCAGTGCCATCGCAAGATCTGCCACACAAGAGATCTCCTTCACAGAACGTCCACAAGAACGCCACAGACCTCTATCAAGAACGCTTATAGAACGCTCACGAGAACACCTGTAAAACGCCCTGCACACTTCTGCACATTCTTGACCAAACGTTCGTAAGGCTCTGCGACATTGCTATCACAATTACTGTTGAGAGAAAGGAGTGTTGCTCATGACTGCATCCCCGAACATGCAGCTTACCGTTTTTGCCTTTGCCGCCCTTGCGTCCGTCGTTGCCGCGGCCGATCCCGGCCAGTGGCCAGCCGAGTGCAAGTACACGGATGGCGTCGCGTGCTACCGCTACTGCGCAACCGGAGCCGATGGCACGTACAAGACGCCGTCGGAATATGAATCGCTCTGCTACAACGCTGACCCGATGAACCCGATCGAAAAGGACTCGTACGAGTATTCGCGCGTGCACATGCGCCTGCCGCCGTCGAGCGGCTTTGCGCCGCAGCCCAACACGGAGGACGGCATGGCCGCCGACCCGTGGCAGTTTGACACTCGCTGCTTCTGCTTCCGCTCGCTCACCGAGGATGAAATCGGAAAGGCCAGCCCGGTCGCAAACATGAGAGATGACGTGTGCAAGTACCACAGCATCCGCTGCCTGCGCAAGGTCGAGCTCGGCGACACGCCCAGCTGCGCCGAAAGCTACTTCCGCTGCAAGGAGCAGAAGGATGCCGACGGCAGCAATACGCACGCCACTACGCTGCGCGCCGAGCTGTACCAGCGCTTCAAGGACATCAACGACATGTATGCCGACGCGATCCTGGCCGTCACGAAGCAGCAGACCAGCAAACAGTTTACGCCCGAAGACAAGACCAAGAAGTTGGCGGCCCTGGAGGGCGCCAAGAAGGAATTCGACACGCGCCGCGAGGTGTCGTCCGAGGGCACGGCGAATGGCACGCCGGTCAAGGAGCCGAAGGCTGAAAATTAGAAATGAAGATCCAGCAGGGCGGGTGTTCGGATCCTGATTGGATGTGGCATGCTGGACATCTCCCTGAATGTCTGGTGTCTTCTAAAAGGTTCAAGGCTAAAGCAGCCTTCAAGACAAGCTGTAGCCTTGTGCAGCCAGCTCCTGCGTCAATGGACATATCCACAATAGCAAGCAATGCCACATCTTAGAGATGCACAATTTTTAAAAAGAGCTCTCAATAAACAAACACTGCCCAAGCCTCTCTGTTCTTCCAAAGGAGTTCACCAAGCTTCTCAACCTCCAACCAAAAACACTACTTCATCTTTGCAAGCTATCCTTCCATTTGTCAGTAAACTCGATTGGAGGAAAGGAATTTGGAAGGTTAGCAGAGGCACTCAAGACCAGCTCGACTCTGATCACTTTGGATATCTACAGCAACTCGATCGGAGACAACGAAACCCAGGCGCTGTCTGAAGCACTCAAGACCAACTCGACTCTGACCACTTTGAACTTGATGAGTAGCTCGATCGGAGACAACGGAGCTCAGGCGCTGTCTGAGGAACTCAAGACCAACTCGACTCCGACCACACTGGAGTTGTACAGCAACTTGATTGGAGACAACGGAGCCCAGGCGCTATCTGAGGCACTCAAAACCAACTCAACTGTCACCATTTCACGCTGACATTTCAATATAAACCCCTTAAGTACATACACTGATTTTGTTACAAAACTAGAATAGTACCCGCGGCTTCGCTCGCGGGGGTGTTGGGTGAAAAAAAAAAAAAAAAAAAGCGAAATGGATGTGGTAATATTTATTTCTGTCTGTCACTGTCTCCCTTGATCCCTACCCTCCTTTTTTTTTTTCTTATGTCATTTTTTTTTAGTCACTCAGGGCAAGAATCTCTGGGTAAACAACATTTGTTGTACAGCCATATGGTGTATCGGGACCCTCCCTCTCAATCAACACATGCACGTTGTTCTTGTTCGTCATCGAGATAGGGCAACGTACAGTTGGCCATGGGCGAATACCGGCTTCTTGAGATAGATACCAACGGTGTCTAAAGTCTGACCTTGGGACTTGTTGATCGTCATTGCAAAGGCGGGTCGGATAGGGAACTGGAGTCGTCGGAACTTGAACGGCATATCGAGGTCAGAAGGGCAGATCGGGATGCGGGAAAGGAATACGTGATTGCCGGCATGTGTTCCTATAATGATAGTGGCTCCCAAGACGTACCGTGAGAGCGATGTACATATGAGTCGCGTGCCATTGCAAAGTCCTTCCTGTGGCATGAGGTTTCGAAGGAGTATGACAGGACAACCCACGGTCAATCTCAGGCAGTGAGGAGGGAGCGAAGACGACTTGAGGCTGTTCAGAAACTCGATAGGAAACAGAGCGTCCACCCTATCGTCTTCTTTGTCGATGATGGAGTCCTGCGAGAGAAACTCTCTTGATTCCCCTTGTATGGCTGACATGATGTGGTTGTTGACTTCATCGACGTTGTCGTTTGTTGGACAGAGCAGTACAGGAAGGTCTTTCCTGTACCTGCAGGACCATCGATGAAGTACGCCTCGGAAGAGTTCATCTCATAGGAGTGCTTGATTC